GTTGTGAGCGCTCTACAAGGTGCCATTTACACTCGAGTGTCCTGAATATATCACGCTAATCACTTGTATTTCTCCCAAAAAAAAAAAGAACATCCACTGAAAAGACTCTCAGCGGACGAGTCTCACGGTGAATAAAACGCAGCTCTTTGAAAATATAATCTCCAAAGGAAGGGAGAGTATATATATCACTAGAGGATTTCTTTTGGTGAAACATCATGATGGAGTTTTGCAGCGAGAAATAAAACAGGAGGTGCAACATCGAGGAGGAGTGATATCGATGAGCTGCAGCCATGAACTAAGTGCAGGAAAAAGGCGAGGAGAGGAGCTGCTGGATGCTTGATAATTGGTGTTAAGTAGGGTCAGGCTGGCGAGAGGGAATCTGATTTGGCTGCACGGTAACCAAACAACTGGTAAATCAAAGCAGTTTAGAAAACACTGATGAGGGTCCATATTCTCTGTCTTTGTTCGGCTCTTTTCTTATTATTCTCTGAAGTCTCTGTACTGAATATCAAAACAAGAGGCTTCCAGGTGCTGCAGGTTGTCATGGTGTTATGTTGTTCTAGAGCAGAGCCAGGACGGTCCACGTCTTGTTTAGAGCATTCAGAAGGAGCTCCTCATCAATTCTAGTTTTATTCTTTACAATCCGGCCCGTTCATCCACAGATGGGATGGCGCTTTATTGATTATTAAACGCCACAAAATATGGCAACTGTTCCTGGGCGACAGTAAAATGTCAGCCGTGGGCAGTTACGCTGTAAAACATCCAGCTTACAGCCAGCTTCTGACAACTCTGCACAAGCACTGGAGAATCCGTTTGGTTTTTTCACCGTTGGACAATATTCTCACTGGAGTCATAACACCTTCTTTGGCACTTTTTCTTTCTGCTCGTGGATGCATATGTGAACTTTCAAATGAGAAACATTTGATCCAGAGAGGAGGACTTTTTGAAGTCAACAACCAACATTTAATTTGCACGTGCAGGTTTTGTGTGTGTGTGTGTGTGTGTGTGTGTGTGTGTGTGTGTGTGTGTGTGTGTGCTGCATTTATCCAGAGCTCATACTGTCTGTAGCTCTCAGACATCCAGAGCAGGACAAAGGGCCCGACAGAGACAAAGAGGCCTGTCAGTGGGGGGCTGAGATCCTCCGTGGATTACTGGTAGATGACAGATCTCCCGTGCAGCCTCTCTGTCTGCCTCGGCCGCTGTCTCTCATTCTCTGAGTCGGATCAAGACGTCACGACGGCACCGGAGTGGTGAATGAATCAAAATGAATCAATGTCTTTAACCTGCGTGAATCGAGTGTAATGAGCTGATATCAACTGTGGTGAAGATAAATCTACATTTTGTGCAAAAAGCAAAGTCACCATTTGATAATAATGTTCTTTTACCTTAATGAGCGAGAACAAAAGTTTCTGGTGTTTTCCTCGCACCTCGTTTTTGGTTATTTTACACCTTATGTGCAAAATATTCTTTGGACTCCTTTCCCTTCACCTCTTTCTTCTTTTTATTTCCTGCAGATTTTCACAGTTTAATCACGTCTCTCATTGAAACGGACTCACAGAACTCTAATCTGTTTCCAGATGTTTCCCTGCATGTTTGAGTTGTTGGTCCAGAAAGCCGTGTGCCGACGCATGAAGTCTTTGCTTGTTCAGTGCTCTTCTTGTGGTACTTCTGCTTCATCGTGTCCTCCTGCAGGTAGAAATAATGATGGTTCCTGAGCTGCTGTTTTCAATCATCTGAGTTCTGATGCTTGCAAATGATGTTAAAAAATCTTGGAAATGACCTTTTTTCTTGTTGTGACAAACTCATTTCTTCGTCTGTCCTTTGACACCTTTCCTTTGTTCGTTAGCTAATCCAGTGTTGTCACAGAGTTCCTGACAGCGTAACACTTTTACATGTAAAATTCTGGTGAGTCTCTCTGCATTTCACAGAGCTTAAAATCTGGTTCTAGAGGCGACACACTGACGGTAATGTGTGTTCTGTCAGCCTTCGATGATGGAGGATGGTGGAGCATATGGTGGAGAAATCTCTGAAGCATCCGAGAAAAGTTTGTGATGCTCCACAAATACAAAAA